TAGGAAGTAGACAGATAGGTATAAGAGGTAGAGAATAAATTTTTTTAAATTCTTAATCTTCTATTTTTATATTTAAGAAAGTGCAGAAAGTAAAAATTTGGAAGGAAAAAATTCCTACTTCAGTCAATTTTCTCTCATCAAAATTATGGAATTATGCAGGAGTTTTTACATCATTAACCCATATTAATTTACAATTTTAATAAAAATTATAGAGAATTTACAAAGTAACGATTCTGTGACATAATTATAGATAGCTTTACAAGATAAATTATAGTTGAGGCATATTTTTTTCTTACCTCATTCTCTCTTTCTCTCTCTTCTTGGAATGAATTGATTAATGGAGAATCTTATTAGATGCGTTAAGCCAGTAAGTTGTCATTGTTCTTCTTCACTTTTATAATTAATGATATATTTTCTTAAAGCAAACACAAATGAAAATATGTTTTTTCATTTTGTAAATTTTAATTTTTGTTTATATTTTTTAATTTAGAAAAAAATTTAAAGTTTTGAAGTACTGATCTTTTTTTAATTTTAAATCTTTCTTAAGATAATGAAGCGAAAAATAAATCACAACGGATAACAATTCATTATATTTATTGTAAATATATTTTTTTCTGATTAAAACACAAAACAAATGAGCAGATTTTTTAATAAAATTTATAGCAATAAATAAATAAATATATAACAATAGGAACGTAGAAGGAACATTATTGCTTGAATTAGAATGGAAGATTTCATTTTCTATTAAGTTAAGCTAGAAAATGAAGATAGTGAAGCGAAAAAAAGATTTCGTAATCAAGAAAGAAGGTTTTGGAGCCAAGTTTTCACAACACGTCTTTAAAAATGTAAGAAGAGAAAAGGGTTCACAGAGGAAAAAAATCAACTTCAAAGTCCACAGCTAATTGTAAGGAGTGGTAAATTTTTTTTTCTATAAGCTATGGTGGCTCTACGCTGCTTCTATTTTCTTTGGTCCTTCAGCCTTGCTGTTCCTTAATTTACAGTTTGATTGAGTAGAGTTATTCCACAGCCATCAGTATAGAAACTTAGCTGTTTGACACTGGAAGTTGGTGAGATGAATAAAGCGTTGTCGTCCGAAACTCTTGTTTTTTTCCCCCGTTCTCCTTCAGATGATGAAGTACCATCAAGAAGAATAGATTTGTATAACAATCAAAAATAGAACATTAATATAAAAATAATTTTTATTTCTTCTACGCAATTAGCTTTTTGACTTCAATCTATGCAGTTTTCAAGTGTTCTTATAACAAGATGGGTGTTTCTTTTTACGTTTGAAACCAGTTCCTTTACAACGGCAAAACCTTTAGAAGTTGAAAACCTTGTTTGCATATCTAGTAGTAAGGAGTTAGCTTCGGGTTTCAAAAATTTTCTTCGTCTTTTTTCCCTTTATTTTTATTTTAAAATCAAGAATTTTTTTACGTCTCACTTGAATTTTTATTCATTTTTTAAACATCTAACTTGGCACAAAAATCAATAATCATTTATTAGATTAAATAATGATGAATTATCTTAAGTAAACAAAAGAGACAGGTAGTAGTTACATATTCTGTGATAATAGAGAGAAGTGATGTGCATGTTAATTAGGAGATTTTCCACTTTGTCCTGGCAAAATTCGACGTGTTTTTTTCCTTCTTTATCATCACTTGTTGTTTGTTAATGTTAAATATAACGCATTTACATGTTCATGTGCTGTATATTCTAAACGTTTCTAGATTCTTAAAATTATTCACAACATTATAAAAATGATGTTTTTATCTTGAAAATAAACTTCTCTATATTTTATCTTAAAGAACTTTTCCTGCTTAAAGCTTCTCTAGAAAAATTTATATGTATGACTTTTTTAAAGTAATTTTTTTGAATAATTTTTTAACTTAAAAATTAGATATTTTGATAATATAATTTTGACACGTTTCTCTTGATCATTAAACGTGACTTATTAAATACACTTTACGTTAACTCCGGAATGAGATAATGGTCTTGGATGCATCACTTTTTTCTCAAGACGAATATAGGATAATATAGTAATAAAGAAAAGTGTCGTACTGCATAAGTATTAAAAGATTACGAAAAACACGTTAAATATGCAAAAAAAACATGTAAAATGTAACGTTACTCAAGTAAGATTTATTTAATTTACTACTTAATAAATAAAGGCTAGGGTATCAAAATTATAACATAATTTTTAATGTCTACATGGCCTAGCTCTAAATGTAACAATTTCTTGCCATCTATTAAATATTTTAGTAAATTTAATAAATGGCGACTTTAAGAATTGCTTATTAAAATTGCTATAAATCTCAAGGTAATTGGAATAATTTATTCTAATCAGAAATAATAAGTTCAACAGCTTTAACTTGTTTATATAAAAAATGGATAATAACCAACGTATAAGCTGTAATGTGCAAACTAAACAGCTGTATGCGAAAGAACAAAATCTAAAATAAATAATATGAATTTAGTCTATAATATAATTCGAACCTATATTCTGCTTTAATACGTTGAAGAACCCATCAGTGGCCTAGTGGATAACACCACTAAACACTGGTCGTGGGTTCGCGCCTTGCCCAATGGAGTTTCCCAGGTTTTATTTACGTTTGTAACTTTTAAATAGGAACCAGTTTCCCATAGGAAGTTCTCCCATGAGGCATCCTTCTTCGATAGATCGCCCATATGTCGCGTTGCCGTATACAAAGAAACGAACATAATATGTTGAATGCTCTAGTTTCTATAAAAAAAATAGGGAAGTATATTCTAGTCGTTTAGTGATTAGACTATTCTGTTATTATCGAAAGCCGTAGATTCAATTCCATCGGGAATCTTGCGAGTTTTAAAAAAGGAAAGGAACAAGGAATAAATCCTCTTTCTTTCCTTTCTATATCTGGATTTATTATTTTTTTTAAAGAATTGGTTTATAAACTAGAATTTACACATTTATGAATAAAATCAATCACTGTTTTTCACGTAAATATATCGAGAAATTCATTCAGATTAATGTCTTATTTTATTTGTAACATGAATCGTTTAAAAATAAATTCTTTAATTTCGTGCTTTTTGAATTAGTTTTATGACGGAATATTTGCTATTTTTATTAAAAAAAATATAAAATAAATTACGAAAAATTTACTTTATTTTATTTATCTTTCACACAATTAATAGGGGAGTGTATTTTAGACGTTCCTTTCCTCAAATCTATAAATTTAATTCCGTTAAATTTATGGATTTCAGTTAAATCTCTTGTTGGATTAGCCTGTCCATTTATATAACGTTTATATAATGCACGTAGAATCAAGAATAAATGTTAATAATATCGCTTTATAATTTTATAATATATACAAGACATATCAAGTATTAAAAGGTTTTAACTACGAAAGTTAAGAACATTTAAGCTTAAGAATTCGTCGCTGATTGGTTGAAAGGGGAAATAATAATAAAGAATCGAAGATGCTGTCCAACCATAAAGATGCTATCTTTCAATAGAAAGTATGACGTATGAATTATATTCTGAATAATAATTTTCGTAAGCTTGTATATGAAATGCTTAAATATAAAATTTCTAAATGTCTTTGATGTACACAATGAAGTTCATGTTTATGCTAAGTATTAAATAGTTAAAAAAAGTCATGTTATAAATTTATTCTATATTTAAACACAGAATAAACGTTTGAGTAAAATAAAAAAGAAAAAAAACAATATTTTAAATTAATTTTCGATTGCATAAAATCTATTATTTCAAGAAAATCTAAAATTTATTAGAAAAATGTTTAAAAAAATTATTAGAATATAATGTTTTTTTTTTTAAAGAACACTTAAAAATTTCAAAAAGATAAACAATTTTACGTTGTTATTTTAAATTTTTAATATATATATTTTCTTTTGTTTTTGTAGAAATAATTTTATTTCTTGTTTTAGAGCAGTAGAAGACTATAAAACTTAAAAAAAAACAACCGTTTTTGCTTCTACCACGAAATATAAAACAGATGTGTTTACATAATAATATAAAACAATAGTCTATGTACTGTATATAAAAAGCATTTTATGATGGCAAATATTCCTTTATAAATAATATTGAATGGAATTTTTAGTAATTTATTTGTCATTCTTGCTTTAAAATATAGCATCTTCTTATCTTATAATAAATAATATTTTTGTGTGGAAGATAAAAGCAATTTCTGTAGTATCTTACTATCAGTCAAACAGCACTTATTCCACTAGCCAGAAATATAAGAAATTGTTTTATTTTTTATTTTTAACTTGTTTCTTTTATTGATTTGACGTGGTTTTGATTATATTTTAAATAACTTTTCCTATTTTCCATTTAATTTTGACAAAAATTGTATTATTAAATATTAAAAGAAGAACGTATAAAGTTACTGAATCATACAGAATTTATCTTACGTAATGTGTTTACAGTTTTTTTATTATTATATACTTACATATTCAATATAACTTCGCACTTAATTGTAAATTATATAATTTTGCAGTGAAAGCAGATTATAGTTGAAGATTTTTTTGTCTATAAAATTTACAATATATCTTAATATAACTGTTAATATTCTTGTATATTTACTATGACCATTTCTTAATGTTAAAACGTCATTAAGTACTGTTAAACATTGTCAAAAATTTGAATTTAATTAATTATTTATTTTTTTGAAAGTTATATTTTCATTATTAAAATTATTTACTGTTTATAGTTAAATACATTTTACTTGTATAAATGTTTCTATTAATTCTTTGAGCCATCAAAATGATGCATACTTAATATACGTAAATACAGTAGGTATGTACTGTACTGTACTGTACGTGTGTTAGTATATGTTACATTGTAAGAATGGATCGTGTTTTAACAGTCTTATAAATATAACAGAATTTATTAAAAGCAATTTTTATCATTTAACATTTAAATACATTACAAATTAACCGTTTATCAATCGAATATACAACAAATTCCTTTTTAAAAATATCGATTGTACGTTAAATCGAAGCATAGAATAAGCGTTTAAAATTATTGTTATAACTTACTTTTACATCTTTTAAACTCTATCGTTTAATGGTAAAGCTTCAATTTATTAAACGTAAAATTGAATTATAACGATAAATATTTTAAAAATTTACATTCTTGTATTAAAATAACGGCAGGTAATTTTAAACGGTTGTTAAAAGACAACGATAAGTTATAACGGTGATAATTTTCCTGTTTCAATTATACTTTTGATTTAAAGTTATCAGCGGTAAAAGTGAAAGTTACAACCTTTACTCGTTAAAGTTATTACTGTACCGAAGGCATTAACTTTCGTAAATTGCCCCGATATAACGTTACATAAGAGGATAAATTATACCTCGATACAGCGATATCTGCAGTGAAAATTAAAGGTATTTGTGTGTTTTTTTTTCTCCGACTCTTTATAACGACCCTTAAGCAAATAATGACCAATCTTGTTGCCATACTTTTACTCTCTTTAGGAGTTCTAGGTTTAAATTCGCCACCTGATCCCAACTGCATTCCCGTTTTGCGTTCTGGGGTGAAAGGGAGAGTGTATAAATCCCGGAAGTGACATCGATTAGTTTCTCCATGGATCGATGAGGATCGACTAGACGGGCCAACTGAACCGTGGTAGTCAGCGGTAGTCAGCTAGAGAAAACGCGATATTCTCTTTCTAATCGATTGTATTTAAAGTCTGCTAGCCTTAAACCCTGTTTCCTCTTCAAACCGCCAATTTAAGATCGATTCGATGAAAATTTGCTCCCCCCTTCTATCATTCTCTCTTCTTCCCCTCGACCAGAAGTCACTTTTGGAAGTCGAAACTTGATTAAAATACTCCACGCGTTGACAAAACACCAAATTGTTATGAGGTGTGGTAATCTGATTAGTAAATTGTATGATAAAACTGTTCTTCGTACCTTTAGGAAAAGATACAAAGAAAAAAAAAGATGGGGAGAAATCTCAGAATAAAAATTGAAAACGTGTTTGGCCTGCAGACTTTTTACTTGTTAACTGATAATTTCATGGATAATAAGAGTTTTTCGTGATAATTTTTTTGAATATTTTTCAGCCTAACATTCATTAAAAAAAAAATATATTCGCACAACAGCTTATCTATTGATAAATTGCTCTAGAAGGACGAGCATCGGAAATGGCATCCATTATTGCAATTATGGAGCCATTATCCGGGAAGAACACAATGTTAACTTTTCTACGAATTATCATCCATTTATTCATTCAAAATCGCTAGACGTATCATCATATTTTGGAATATTTTTTCCCATAGAACCTTACACAATAGGTTAGGCCATGGAAGCATATCAACGGGCGTACGTAAATCATTATTTAATGGGGTATATTTTAGTTCAGAAATTGGGAAAAAACACGATAGAGTTTTCTTTCCACAAACCAAATATTCACATTGGGGAAATACACATTTTGGTATGCGAAAGGTTTTTACTACATTCAATACATCTTCAATATCGCTTGGTATAAGTTCTTTTAACTGGAAAATATATTTTTTTCCACATTGCAATTGGAAATTCCATGGATCGAGAGTTTTCAGACATTTTACGATCACAATCTGTTCAATAATAAGCATGTCTAAAATACTCTAAAAATGTTTTCTTTCGATATATCTCCGTGAAATGAATTGGAAAAATTTTTAACATGTAGTACTCGTTCCTGTAGTAACTTTCTCTTATGTTTGCAAAAATTCAAGAAAATGGGGTTATAAAGTTAAGTTGATTTATTGCTAGAAAAATTTTTCGATATTTTTACATTTTAAAATATCAAAAATATCTTTTATAAATTCATAAATGCCATTAATCTTCTAGGGTAAATCATGTTTAGAATGATTCAATACTTTTATATATAAGTTTAATCGCATTTAATTCTTATATAATTTAATATTTAAAATTAAAATTTATATTTTGTGAGAAATTAACTGAGTATTAGCTGTTAACTTAACGGTTAAACGACCGTTTAATGCTTGTTATTATGATGCTTAAACGTTAAATTATTTTTTAATTAACGATAAAAGTATATAATTGTTTTCTTTAAATTTAATCGAAAGAATAATTGTTAAATCTGGATTTTTAATTTACAATTTTAAAGTTATTTATTGATTAAAATTTTATTTATATTCTCAATTTAATCTCGGTTTAACTATGTTGAACTTATTAATCTATGATTAAATCAGAGTATATAACACTTCAGTTAAACTGTATAAAAAGTTTACTAATTATATTTAATTAAAATTTTATAATTTCAACGTTAAATATTTGCTTATATCATTAATTTGCTTACACTTTAAATCAATTAAAAGGTTATATAAAAAGAAAAAAGTTGAGCTCGGAGCAATGACTTTCATCTACCGAATTATCATTTTTGAAGTTACAAATTCACATTCGAATTCTACCATTAATTAAATATAATTTATTTGGATTAATATCGAAAAATAAAGCAAAATTTAAGTGATCTAAAGCAACAAGATCAAAAGTTCTCTTATGTTCCTCGAGAATCTTTTACAATTTGAAGTGGTCATCAAGGAAAAGTCGATTTGGTTCAAATTGTAGAAGAATCTCTTTAGATCGAACTGAATTGCATAAAAGTACTTTTATGAAAGGAAAAAAAAAGTAAGAAAATTTTATTTGAACAAAATATCGATAGATCGAGCATACAGAAAAATCGCTTTAAAAAAAGAGGGGGGATAACTTCAAAATCGTATTCATGTGTACAGTACCTTTTTTTTCTTATAGGTCAAGAAGCACCTTTGCAATACTTGTCCATCAAGGACTTGCTACCGGATACTGACATATTTATGACATACGAAGGATCCACTACTATGCCTGGATGTTCAGAAACTGTAACATGGATTATCATGAACAAACCTATCTATATCACAAAACAACAAGTGAGTTTCTTTTTTTAATAAGTTTTAATTAAACTTTTATATATATATATATATAAAATTCACACACTTCCTCCGCATCTTCTTTTTCTTCTTTCACATTTTATCGAACTTATTTTTTACTCGAGTCATAATCGTTTCTAGTTATTACGATCTCTATATCGATCGTTTACTTCTTCTACAGTTTTCCACATCGTTTCATAAAGTTTAACCTTAAAGTATGTGGTGGAAGATAATGTGTATATATATGCAAATGAGTAAGGGTAATATTGACTCTCTCAAAAATAATCAAAAATATATATTATTTTTGATTTTTATTTTTACGCTGTCGAAGAAGTTGATTTATCTTTAAACTTATTTAAATTTTTAACATTACACATAAAATATTATATGCATACTTGAAGTAATATTATGTTTAAATTTTCTTTAGATAACATTACGGATTTTTTTGAATGGATGTTTTTACATGTTTACTTTATTCGTTTCGTATAAAAATGGTTGTTTCAACAAGCAAATTATATTTAGTTTTAAATTTAATATTTATGAACGGTTAATGCAATCAAAAATATTTTAAAATTCAACATTATTTTATCCGATAACAAGCTTAGAATTCCAATAAAACAGGAAAGAATTAGAAAGAAAAATGAATCTTCAATTTGTTTAAAAGACTCCAATTTTATTCGTAATTACCTTAAGGAAAAAAAAATTCATGAAGTTTTTTAGAAGCAAAAAAAAATTATCCAAATTAGCCTCTTACTAATTTAGACAATGATAAATTATAAGCAAATTAACAGGTAAAATATTTATTTTATGTCGTGACGTAGGACTATTTTCTTTACCATTAATTAACAGCGTGTCTTCTCGAATTTATGTCACGCTTGTAGACGTATTGAATAAAGACGATCAAACACGCTTCCATGCTGTAAATAAATATAGATAAAATATCACGCAACACGCTACATTCACAACGTGACACCACGTAAGTGAATTGTCACGTTTTTACTATTATCGATCATTCAAAATATATGAACCGATTCCGTTCAAAACTTTCAAAATTTCCTATCTTTATCTTTCGAATATTTTTGTCCAGTTCTTTATATTTTTTTATTTAAAATATATATATAAATTTTTGATTATATTTTTTAAAAAATTCTTGTAATTATTTTTTCCGTCCATTCGCCATATTTTTATATCCAAATGAAAGGAATTTGTTTCTAAAAAAAGATTTCATAAATAACTAAAAGGGGGGTTGAAAATCTTGAATTACGAGCAGAATATAAAATATTTCTTTTTCCTTTTTTTTAGAAATCATCTTTGTGGATTTTTTTCTCTACTTTCTAAATTTATAACTTCTTATCGTCTTCACTTTCCATATTTATGTGATTGTAAAAATATCTCATTGAATCTTTCGTATATATATATATATATTTCTATATTTTTATAGTTGTATGCACTTAGAAATCTCATGCAAGGTGAAGAAGAAAATCCAAAAACACCACTAGCAAATAATTTTAGACCTACTCTACCTCTAAATCATCGTTCAATTAGGACAAATTTGGATTTCAGAAGGAAAGAGGTATTTAATTCAATTCTAAATTTCCAATTAATTTTATAAAATTAATATAAAAATGTTTTTTTTAATAGGGTAAAACCTGTCCCACTATGTATAAAACTATGTACTATAAAGGTAAGTTGCTAGGTTTTAATCGCAGAAAGTGGGTACCATAAGGGGAGGGTGAATAACTTTAAATTCTATTAACCTATATAAAGAATCTTTAAGTAGTCATATAATTTTTGGCTAGCAGGACCGCAGTGTACAATTAACGTTAACGTAATGGCTGTTAGTGAGTTGCTGAAGCCATCTATCTTGTGGCCGCCGATACCACATAGTTCAAGAAAATTGAACATTAACTTGATATATGCGACCATGGATCAACTCTAAAAGAGTTCACTCTTATTTGAGAAAACGTTTAAAACTTTCGTTTCATCTCTATCTCTCTTCTAATATTAAGTCGTGAACTTATTTAAAATTCCTTTTTTTTCCCTTTAAATATATCATTCAATACTTTAATGCTATCCTCGCATTTGCCTTACTATTTATTATAGGAGATGTATCTAAATTAATGTAACTTTTAAAGAAAATGATGAAAAATATTAAAAATTTTGTTTATTATCTTTTGTTTTTACAAAATTAACTTTATAAAAAATTAGTATAACGGAATAATTGAATAATTTTTAGAGGATTTTTTTAAGTTCAAAATTGTGGTGTGGAGTTTAATTTAATATTAAAATTTAATACAAATTTCTTTCTTATATTCGAATGATTGTTGTTAAAATTTTTTAATTAATGATTATTTTTTCGATATTTTTGGGAAATGATCCTCTAAAATGAATGTAGATTTTTATTTAGATTTCTTTTGTTTTATGAAGAATTAATCTCTTATAAAGATAATTAATTTTGCAGGGATAATCTTAGGGATAAAAATTTTTTAAAAGATTAATTAATCTTCCAAAAATGATTGCGTTCTTCTAAATTTTAGTGAATTTTCCTTAAAAATTTTCATATACAACATTCTTTTATGTTAAGTTTGGAGGAATATGCTTCAAAAAACACAAATTTAGAGTAATAATCCCCGAAAAATAGAATAGTTTTCGAGGATTAATCCTCCGAAAATGATAGCATTCATTCTTAATATACTTGGAGGAAAAACTCTTCGAAAAGTTTCTAAATCTGGCAAAACATTTGCGCTAATTTTGACTCTGGTTTATATTAAAGAGGATCATTAGTAGGACGACATTTTTTGTATTTTATTTAGCCACAGCTTCACGCTCCTGGTCCAACGAGCCGTGACGTCACATCCGTCCCTGCGTTACGTCATCGTGTTACGTGACAGACGTCAGCCAGTAGGTGTTTTTCCGTAGTAATTCATCACCTTCCGTCTTTCTGTCTGTCTCGTCAAGCTATTTAAACTTCGTTTGTGACCTTTAAGCCTGGGTAAGTTAACCTTCCAAAAACTACAAAAAAATAAATAAATAAAACACATCCTATATATTTATATATGTATATAATTAGTAAAAAATAAGTTACGAGAGCGATAGGTGTGAGGGAGGATTTTAAGTTTTCTAGTGAAATATTTATTATTAGATTTATGTAAGATGTAACAAAAGAGTAAACGTTATCCTAGCATCTACATTTCTGTCACGAACAGCTGGTTTGGACCGCTCCAGCCGCGAAATTCGGTCGATAAAGAGGTGACAGCTTTTCCTATCACCCTTAATGTCTAAGATTAAATGTGTAGTATAATTAATGTGACAAATGTAGTTGATTTGCATAACGGTAAAGAGCAAATCAAAATAAATGCACTCGAGTTGAATAGAAGATTGTAAAGAAAAATTATTCCCTTTAAAGAATTTTAGCGATTGTAACTAGGTTTATTTTGGAAATGAAGCTATTATCTAGAATATATTCCTCTTAAAACAACATCAAAATTGAAAGAGGAGTAAATTACATTTCTCAAGATGGGAATTGCTTTGTCTTGTCACAAATTAGAAGAGAGAAAGAGAAAGAGAGGAGGGGATGAATATGATGAATTAATCGAAAGATCAGAGGTTAAACGATTTAATATTATTGTTTAAAAATGTTATTAATTTTATTAATATAATTCTTTTTTCATTCTTTTTGTAATTACACAAAACCATTGTGTGTCTTTTTCTATTATGGGGTTATCTTTGAAAATGTATACAAACCTTTCTTATTTTTCAACAATTGTTCGAAACTGATATGACTATTTGCTCGATTCGAGAATGTTATCAGTCAAAAATTTGTAAAATTCTTTTTTGTTTTTTTTTTGTAGTATTATCTTCCAAAAATTAGCAGTACTCTTCCCTTGCTTTTTAGGTAATATTTTTAAAAATCTTTAATGTTTTTTTTGTAGTATTATCTTCCAAAAATTAGCAGTACTCTTCCCTTGCTTTTTAGGTAATATTTTTCACAATATAGAATGATTTTTTCCGAATATTCTTTCCGAAAAATTAGTAAAATCCACTTTTAATTTTAGTGTTATTTTCCAAAAGTCAGTCCAAATTATTATTATTTATTTACAAAGTGTTATCCATCAAAAATTAAAATATATTTACTTATTTTTCGTGATCTATCTCCAAATTAATATAAATTTTCGACCATAATCTACTCAGAATTAACAAAATTCTTCTCTTCCCTTCTCAGAGTCTTAATTACTCTCCAAAATTAATATCATCCTTTAATATTTTGGATGATCATTCTTCAAAGGTTTTTCTTATTTTTTAGAAAATTATTCTTAAAACTTAGCATAAATCTTTTCTCATTTTTTAGAAAGATAATTTTCTAAAAAATTAATGACGTGTTCGAAAATTTTCGAAAAAGACAACTTAGAAGATATGTAAAAAAATCAATTAAACGAACTTCCTTTATTATTTTTTTTTTTAAAAAAAGAGAAGTTATATAGAAGAGATGTTTTAAACTTTTAACAGCATAAAATATTTGCAAATATTTCTTATTTATTTGAATATATCAAGGAATAAAATTGTAAATATCATTTTTATTCATTGACATATCCAATAAATGTATTGATAGTAGAATATCTTCTATTTATTTCCTGATAATTCTCTATCCTGGAGAGAGAAAGAGGGAGAGAGATTCCGTATATGAGTGCAGTTTATAACCAGAGGGCATAATATTGTGACTTACTACAAGTCTTTATTCACTAAAGAACTTTGGAATAAGATCTTCATGTGTAGATTTTATACAAAGGAATGTCATATGTAAGTAAATACAGTACATATCTTCAAAGAATACCCATATATGTATCGGAAATGGAAGCACCTTCAGGCTGGATTCTTCCAGTTTTTATATATATATATATAATATTTTCATTTTTTTTTAAAGTAAAGAAATTGCTACGAGAGAATTTCACTTAAAAATAAAAGTTTTTTCTATGCTATTTTAGCTCATATATTTTTTTTTTAAATTAGTTTTTAGTACATGTACAATGTTTCGATATGTTGATATTTTGTAATTAGATACTCTTTTTTATTTATTTTTAGCTTAGAAGAATTTTGGTGAAATTTTAAGAATGTGAATTTCTACTTCTTCACAATCGCCGGATATGCAAAAAAACAAAGAAAAAAAACATACATATATCGGTGGTGACGTCACGGATATCAGTATTTGAAAAAAGAAAAAAAAATTTATTGTTTGAAAAGTTTTTTTTACTTAAATACCCGAATGTATACATATCTATCAATAGTAAAAAAATTAAAAATTTTAATAAAAATATTTAGAAAGCGTCAATTTTTCGTTTGTGCTTTATTTTCTCTAATTATATCAGTTTAATTTTTCGTTATTTCATCAACGAAATCATCATTTAAAATGATGTTAGGAAACTAACTTATGGTTTAAATATTGTACATTTGTATACCTTAAAACATAAATATCTTAGTTACATTTTTAAGTATAACTAAAATTAAAGACGTTGAGATATTGTCTGGAATTTAAATCTACAGTTCATTACAGTTAATCAATATTCAAAAATCTTAATTAAAATCGAATGACCAGATGAATAAAATCGGATAAAATTCAAAAGAATTGTTCGACAATGCTTGACGATTGTACTAAATGTTCAAAAAGCACATCTCGGATTATCGGATAATGTTAAACAATTGCACGTTTAATCGGGTTTTACGGGATTTCGGAAGCAAAATTTAAATTGGTTTTCGGTAAATTACTCGAACAGCATTCGATAAACTTGAAAATAAGTGTAATAAAGCGAAAAGCATCATTAAATTAACATTAGAATGTAATTTTAAAGGAATAAAATATTCAAAATTTAGTCTAAAATCAAAATATATTTTAAAAGAATTCATTTTTTTAAAGCAAAAAAGCGCAGTTTAAACTAGAAAATATAACAAAAAATATTCTATAATTGGTCGAGTATTTTTATAATAAAAAAATTGTCTATAAATATCTTTAAAAAATCTGACAAATAAGCGAAAGAATTATATAAATGACAGTTTGAAATCTAAGAATCTACGGTATACAAATCTCAACTTAAGTAGCATTAATAATTTATAAGAGTCTTATCCACTTTTATCAAGCAAGAAGAATTGAGAAAGAATATTTATCAATTAAAATCTAAACACAAGTTGGCAATGGGAAAATCTCTTGTAAGACAAGAAGTACATGTTTATCAGGATTACGAAACCACTTCAATTCAATCGTGTCATTTTTCCGATTTATGAATCCAACCACTCGAAAAATGATTTATTGCTAACCTTACTTATTTTTTTTTCTTCTTATTACTAATAAATATAACTTATCAAACAATAAAAGATATAACAATCAATATATTTTTTTTAATCGAAACTAAATTGGAATTTCCATTTTTTAGATTATCTTCCTTTTTAATTAAAGGGGGAAGTAGAGAAGGAGGGGAGAAAAGCCAACAATATTATAGAGAAACTTTAAACAATTTTAGTAGATTTTTATTTGTTTTTTGTGTATAATTATATTAATTTTTCAGGAAAATAGTAATTGATTTTCGTATATTAAATTATTACTTTTTTTTCATTTTTTCCCATGACAATTTTTTTTGGATAAAAAAAAAGGTTTTTAGAAATGAATTGTTTTTCCATGCAATTTTAACAATAAATAAAATAAAGATTTTAAATCTTTTTGAGAACTTTTCAGGATATAATTTTTGAACGTTTCTAGGAAAATTGTTAACGTTTTCTGGACGTTTTTTACAAGAAAAATTGTTTTTTTTTATGCTCTCAATAACGAAAATTTCGAAAACGTTGGCTACATTTTTTAGGAAATTCTAAAATAAAAACGTTTTTTGAACTTCTAATTCCTAAGAAAGGAATAATTTCTGGAATTAAAATGTCATTTAACATTTTCATAAAGGAATTTTTAGCAGAAAACGTTTTATGGAAACGTTCCTAAAACGTTTTTTTCTTTTAATATTTAAAGAAAAACCAGTCCATTTGAAAAAAAAAAACGTTGAAGAAACGTTTATAAAATTCTAAATAACGTAAATTTTTTAGATTTTTAAGAAGAGATTTTCTTGAATATCTTCTACAATTAAGCAAATTTATGAATAAAATATTAAAATTGAACATCATAACATCATTATGTCAAGTATTTAAAATGAAAATTTAAAAATCTGTTTATCGTTTAAGTACTTCAATTGCGTAATTATCAAACAAAACGTGGTCCATTTACTTACAAATTTATTTTTCCACAACTTTGAAACTTTCGCCAAAACAAACAAAATTTTAACTGCCATTATGCTTAATTAAATTATTAATTATAAGTATTATCTTCCAAAAATTAGCAGTACTCTTCCCTTGCTTTTTAGGTAATATTTTTCACAATATAGAATGATTTTTTCCGAATATTCTTTCCGAAAAATTAGTAAAATCCACTTTTAATTTTAGTGTTATTTTCCAAAAGTCAGTCCAAATTATTATTATTTATTTACAAAGTGTTATCCATCAAAAATTAAAATATATTTACTTATTTTTCGTGATCTATCTCCAAATTAATATAAATTTTCGACCATAATCTACTCAGAATTAACAAAATTCTTCTCTTCCCTTCTCAGAGTCTTAATTACTCTCCAAAATTAATATCATCCTTTAATATTTTGGATGATCATTCTTCAAAGGTTTTTCTTATTTTTTAGAAAATTATTCTTAAAACTTAGCATAAATCTTTTCTCATTTTTTAGAAAGATAATTTTCTAAAAAATTAATGACGTGTTCGAAAATTTTCGAAAANGCATGAAAGAAGCCTGCATAACTGTATTTTCATAAGTGTTTTTAAGGATTAATAAACACAATTTTCTTATTTTATAATAAATTATTGACTTATTTAATCACTTAAAAAATTAAACATTTGTAAAATTGCACGAAATAAATGTATAAAAATGATTTTTTTTTTCTCTTACCAGTACATTATAAAATTTTATTATAGTAGCTGATATTTTAATGATTTTGCACTTAAGTTTTAAAAGAGTTGTTATGTAATTTTTCATCATTTAATAAATGAACCATTTTCAAGTATGGATTTAATATTCGTTCAAAATAATTTTCTCTTTGACACTTAATAACACAAAGTTTAAAATCTCTAGTAATTTGTTTAAGAATTTCAATTTACTTCGCTTTTCAACAAGATATTCATCAAGTGAGTAAATTGCTGAATTAATATAAATTAAAGCAACAAATGTTATTAACGGTTTATAAATAGTTGAAATTTCTTGAATAATGGTTTATACTTTGATACGTAGTTTCCAATTTTTCTACATTTTTTTACTATTTTGCTCATCTCTCTTTCGTCCTCTTGCTCTTGCTCTTCCTCATATTTTCTAATCTGTTAAAAATCTTAAACGAAATTACTAAATCTTAATGAAAGAAATGAAATTTTCTGACAAGTTTAAAGAATGTATTTTTAGAAAAATTATATTTTAATTAATTAAGAATATTTTAAAATTTTCAAGAAATGTATTTCTCCTTCTCTATCTTTCTCGTTTATTAAACACGTGGAAGTTATTATGAGTTATTTAAGATATAAGCGAACGTTAAATGCTTCTTGAAAATGTTATATTTTAATCTAAAAATGGTTTTGTTCAATTTTAGCAAGGATTTTTGAAGAATATCTTCTAAAAACATTCTGATTTTTTGGAAAATGTACCATGCTTCTCGAGTAGTAGTTTGTAGTGCAGTAAGAAAATTTCGAATGGAAATGAAGCGAAAAATAGCATGGAATTCCAAGCTTATCCTAAGGGGAAAATTTAAGAATATGTTTCATGAATTTTATTTTAGTAAGGGAAAAAAGGAATCATCAGAGTTGACTTCTATAAATTGTCTTTTGTGTTGGGAATTTGGGAATTGCAGAGAAAGAAAATAGTAAAAAAAAGTACAAAAATAACATATATAAAGTCTATTTTACTATATAATATTCCACTATTTTAATATTTAACTCAGATGTTAATTCATCTAAAATAGATTTTAATTTCTAGTGATGTACAAGCTTAAGTCTATTTACTGTGATTGAGAATAAACACTAATCTAAGTTTACTGTGAGATAGATGCATTCTCATGTGGCAGGGTAAAGAAACAAGAAGAAGATCAGAAGATGGTCCAAAACAAAACTGTTGCCTTCCTCCAGAGTATAGTTTTTTCTCGAGAGAAAAAGAATGAATCACAGAAAGTAATTTTGTTTTGTTGCTAACTGGCTTTTCTTCTACGTCTTTAACCAATACAGAAATGATTGCGATGGAAATGTTTCATGGATATATAAATCCTGATGTAGTTTCTCCATGCCTCCCAATGAGAATATGAGTAAAGAAATGCTCTCATTTATTAGTGTATTTTTTTTGAATATTCAGAGCATCTCTCATCCTCTTTCCCTTGTTCTTACTCTTCTTCTTTTCTACTTTAATAACATAGATCATAATCTTTGTTAAAGCATCCTAAATTGGCTGAAACAAGAGGTTCTTTTGATTGCCCATCATTTGTTGTAAAGGAAAAAAGGGGTCGGAGTGATCTACTTTCTCTAAGGATTTGAACCACTTGGGGTTTGTTTAAAAAGTTTTCTATCATCTTTATTCTTGTTTAGCTTATAAACAACCTTAGAAAGAAATATATATATATATATATATATGTCTACAAAGTATTAATGAATTACATTTTAATTAATGTTTATAACGAGGAGTATCGGATACCTTTAATTAAGGCTATGTTTAATTATTACTAAATTTAGAAAACTTATGTCNCGATAAATTTCTGCGTAAGGAAATTCAGAATTAAATTGTTAACTTTATCAAAAATTTATATAACATATAAGAAATATTGATTTATTATATAAACATATTATGTTATATAAAGCCTATAAATCTTGTACTCTTTACTATGAAAATAATATAATATTCAAGTATTCAGCATTCAAACTTATGTAGAAAATTAAGAAAACAAATATCAGTGATGAGAAAAAACCCTGAAAATCATTGATATGAGTTTTCCAATGTCATAAAATATATTATGAAATTGGAAACCTCATTCATTGAAATGTATAATTTTCACTTTAATTTATATGATTCTTGATGTTTTTCTGAAGAATAAAATAAAAATAATTACTTAGAATATATGTATGTTAACATCTCTCCATTCGTAGATGGTTAACCATTTTCTAAGATGCTTAATGAGGGTTCGATAAGTAAAAACTGAAGAGAAACATGATATAGATATCAGTCTTTTAGAAGAGGAATTAAAGAAGAATTCAATTT